ACACCTGCCCCAGCATTTTGAGAGTAACTCACACCAAAAAGGAGATGTTACCAGAAATCTCTAAGAAGTTAGATCTCTTGATTCTGATGTTGGGGCCGCAGCTCTCAGGGTGAACCTTGATAATAATACCTCTCAGGGGATGTTGACTCACCTGGAGATGTCTTACAGCCCCAAGAGCAGTGGCTGTTCATTTGGGGCTGCAGCAATTTTCCCTTCCTCAGACCCTCCCCCATAGCTGGGCCGTGCACGTTTGCTTTTGCACCATCATCTCCAATGGGAGGCTTCTGGAAGGACTTTTCCTAACCTTCTGATGACATTTAACGTACATTGAGGTTCATTGCAAGATAAGTATTTTAAAACATTTATCCAAATTCCCGAGGTGTCACACCCAGTGAAAATCAGAGCTCGGTTCAAAGGCTGTGCTAATGTCAAAACTCCTGCCCTTCCTTAACTGGATTCACAGATGGACACAGAATTAGTGCAGGGAAACTTAGTTACCTTAGTTTGGTATTAAATGAAGTAATAATATTCCCATATTACTACTAAGGAATCTTATCTTTTCTTGATTCGACTGAACCAAATTGGTAGGACACAACCACAGAAAGAAGTTAAAATTTGCAACCAAAGAGAGTAGATTATATCACACAGATCTCAAAACTGTAACTGGCCCTTTATCAAGAGCCACTGGTACAAAACCATTAATGGAGGAATTTAAGAGATTTCCTTCCTGTTACCTGTCTGCTGTGGATTTAAGGGAGATATTTTCTGTCATAAACATCTATACCCCCAACTAGAAATTTATGTAGAACATAAATCACTTTACGCCCCTGTATTGACACATTAGTTCAAAACACTGCTGGCATGCGGGTGAGAGAGCAGCAGGGAGGAAAATTAGATGATCTGCTGGTAATCTGCTAATTTACAAGTTGAGAGACGGTATTCTGGCTTGACACCACTTATATATTTCTCCACGTGGCCAAGCACAAAACAGCAGCTGAGGTGGTGGTTATGGAATTCCTCCAAGATGGAAATGTGAGACCAGCCCTTCTCTCCTCCTTTTCTGCAGATACTGACCTGCAGAGACTCTATCGGCAACTGGAAAGTGCCTTATGTTTATCAAGAAATTAATGAATTTATTCTCTTTTTTTTAATAGAAATCATGTTATATTGGAACTATTTGGGATAGCAGACAAGATGTATAATAAGTGATTTCAAAGAGCAATATGGCTCCTCCAGGCAGAAGGCAGTGGCTGGGGGTAGAGCTGAAGTAGAAAGATCAACTTACCTTTTTAAGGAACATCTCTAGCAACCTCATCTATTGCATTTTTTTGCTAAGTCAAATATTTACCCCTGGTGTATGTGATTTGATGGAAAGAACAAATGCTCAAATTCATAAAGAGTTTCACTCCTGACACTAATTTAGTATTCTTGGTTTGGAATGTGGCTTAATTTGTACTACTATATGAATGAATAGACTACACACATGTGTGTGTGAATGTGTGTGTATGTATACATATAAAGAAAGGAAGGGGTTTCCCTGGTGGCACAGTGGTTGAGAGTCCGCCTGCCAATGCAGGGGACACGGGTTCGTGCCCCGGTCCGGGAAGATCCCACATGCCACGGAGCGGCTGGGCCCGTGAGCCATGGCCAATGAGCCTGCGTGTCCGGAGCCTGTGCTCTGCAGCGGGAGAGGCCACAACAGTGAGAGGCCCGCAAAAAAAAAAAAAAAAAAAAAAAAAAAAAAAAATGAGGATTTATTAAAGCGCGGGTGAGTTGGGTGGATGTCCCACAATTCGTTTAACTTTATAGTCAATGAAGGGTATGTGGCTTGTTTCCAGTCTTGGGCTATTGCAAATATCGATAAAGCTGCTATGAACATTAGTGTACAGACTTCTGCACGAATAAACGTTTTCATTTTTCTGGGACAAACATCCAGTAGCTTTCTTTTTTAAACGAACACTGGTTCTCAAAAATGAAAATAAATAAATAACAAGAATTAAATGAGTTAATAGTTAGAGAATATTTAGCACATTGTTGGATTAGTAAAGTGCTTATTCATGTCAACATGCAGTTAAAATTTTTCTACTATGTAAACAGGCACTATTCTAGACACAGGGGGTACAAAGATAAAAAGATACAGACCCTGCCCTCAACAAACTCACTCATCCTAATTAGACAGAAAGAGAGGAAGGGTACCAGTTATCAGCCTTAGGCTGGAAGAGGCAAGAAGACAGAATAGTTACAGGAACTCAGAAGGGGACAGTCATGTGGCAAGAGCCACTGACAAGAGCTGTGGCCTTTGGTCAAAGGATGCAACCCTGGAGACCCGCAGTGAGGGCAGCTGGGGAATCAATACCCTGAGCTCCTCTCCTCCCTCCCCCTAGTCTTCTCCCAGCACTTCCTGTTGGCAGGACCCAACCCAACTGGAAGCCAGAGGGCAGAGGGCCCTGTGATGCCGTCCGTGCAGGTCAGTGCCTAGGAGCACGGAACATGATGGGGAAGGGTGCAGAGCAAAACTAGGGGAATCAGTAGACTAGATCCAACCCACACACGCACACCCAGCTTTGAATCCACTGTTTAACTTTAGGCAAGTTGCTTAATTTCTCTGCACCTCAGGTTGCTCACTGCAAAACAAGTGTCATAATGATAGTTATGCAGGTTATTGGAGCATAAACTAGACGATGTCTCGAAAATGCCTGGCAGAGCTCCTGGAACGTGGTAGGCATCATTGAATGTGCTCCAGCCCCACCCCCAGCTGATGACAGTTCTCTGCACTTGTGGCTGTTTTATAGTCTTCATGTATTTCCCAGGAGCATGGTCTCTCCTAGTATGGTCCCTAGACCATGTGCTTTAGAGACACCTGGGGTCCTTTTCATCACGCAGGTTCATGGCCCCCACCCCAGTCCAACTGAATCATGAGCAGAAGGATGGGAATCTTCATTTTGGATAAGTTTCCCCAAGTGATTTTCATGCACAATGAAGTTTGGGAACCACCGTCCTAGAAGTCCATATTTCTAATTGACGCCCACTTGGGTGAAGTAGAGGTGAGATTTATCTGTACTTGGCAGCCATTAGGTATAGTTCCAGCCCATCAGCTCTGGGAAGAGGGCTCTGAGACCAGGACACTAACGGTCTGTCTTGCAGTGTTAGGCCATGCTGATTCTCCATTTTGCTGGCTTTATTAATACCCGAGGAACAATGTTCCCAGGTTTTTAATTTAAAATTCTCTAACATCCAGACTCTAATTATTTTCTAGGTTGGATATGGGCTTGGTTAGTAGTTGTCTCTGACCCCTACCTTTCAGAGAAAATTTAATAAGCAGAGCAGAAGCTGTTAAAGGGAATAAAAAGCTTTGTGGTTGAGAATAGGTCAATTCTGAGTATAAACAGGAAGAGGCCAAAACTCAGAATAAGACCAGAGGATCTAGGACCTTGCTTTAGTTTGTTAAAAAGTATAAGGAAATTAATCAGCAGTCCGGGACAGACGCTGAGCTCATGGCTTGGGTCTTGAATTGGTTAGATCTCAGATTGGCTGCGATAGATTGGAAAGAGCAGGAGCTTAGACAAGAGAGAATTTTATTTGCTTCTCACGTAGAACTAGAGGCGGGCAGAGCAGGCCTGGGAGGGCGGTTTTTCTCCACAAAGTTCTCGAGGACTCAGGCTTCTATGGCTTTTTGTCCTGCCCTCCCCCCAAATGTGGCCCACGTCCTCATGTTCCAGGATGGAAGGCCAGTTGTCACATCCATGTTCCAAACCGCAGGAAAGGGGGAAGAAGATACAAAGAGTATGGAGCAGCTGACTTCTAAGGAAGGTTTAGAATCTGCCACACAACACATCTGATTACATCAGTTTGGCCAGAACTCACTCACATGGCCGCACCAAACTACAGGTCTAGCTTGGAAACAATATACTACAGAATGGATGATACATTGAGGACAGCTAAGAGTCACTGCCATTGGTTCTGCATCCTGAGAAACTTTGGACCTTCTTTTCCCAATGGAATGGTTATCATTCAGGTTCCATACAGGAACCCAGAAACCACTCCTGGTATATTTCGAAGAGAAAACTTAAGACAATTTGCAGCACAAGTGCAAAACTGAGACAACCCAGAGGTTAACAGCAGTGGGAAGCTTCTACCTTCCCTGGGGCTGGAGGGATAAACGAAGAGACAGAGTTTAGAAGTCAGGGTTGGTTGGCAGAACTTGGAACCCCAGTCGGCCATTCCAGTGGGAGCTAGAGCCAGGAGGTGCAGTCCCTGCCCTAGATGCCACCAGTAGCAAAGTGATCCAGGAAGAAATATGCTGGCCTTTCCCTTCTTCTGCCCCTCAGTCTCTTTCTAGTGCCTTACACTGGCTAGAACTGCCTGGAAGCCAGAGGGCAGGGACATCTGGGAAATGTAGTTTCATGCAAACAGAGTAGGCAAAGAAGAGGAAAGTATGGCTCTGAAAGCAAACAGGTGACTAGAGCAGCACCAAGTCCAAGTTGTGCACCAGGATAAATTACTAATAATTGATACCTGGCTAGACATTTTTTCTGGATGAAAATTTTGCAAAACAAAAGTGTCCTTCTGTTGAAAGCAGGGACTTAAACAGATCTTAGTACATCAGTGTTCACAACAGCGTTGTTCACAATTGCCAAAAAGTGGAAACAACCTAAATGTGCAACAACAGGTGAATGGGTAAACAGAATGTGGTATATACATAAAACTGAATATTATTTAGTCATAAAAAGGGATGAATTTCTGATACATGCTACAACCTGGATGAACCTTGAAAACATTATACCAAGTGAAATAAGCCATACACAAACTAACAAATACTGTTTTATTCCACTTATATGAGGTACCTAGAATAGGCAACTTCACGGTGACAAAAAGTAGATGTTACCTGGAGCTGGGAGTTGGAGGACAATGGAGAGTTATTGTTTAATGGGTACAAAGGTCAGTTTCTGGGTCACCTGTTAACAAGGAGGGGGGTCAGGGTGGTCAGGATATACTCGACTATGTCTAAAACAGCTCGGAAATGTCATCAAGAACAAGCACTGAAGATGGTTGTTGACTTTTGCACCCAGGAAGGTTATCGGCTGCTCAGTAAAGGCTGTTTCTGTGAATGGAAGGAGACTCTACACTGAAATGGGATGAGCAGCACAGTCCTTTCTGCATTTCTCCATTTGCTGGCTCAACAGAAGCAGTAAATAAACCCTATTCTCAGAAACTATGCGGATAACATTGATGATGGCGGCACACAAATTAGGAGGTAAACAAAAAGCCGTGTAAATTTCAAGCTTCATTAGAAACACAGGCAGAAAAAAATTAACATCTGCCAAATAGAAAAGGTCAAAATTGGAAGGGAAAGACACTTTCTTTTTGAGATCCTAAGAAGTTACTGCCAACGTCAAGGACATGAGAGGATTCTGTTTCCTCGTTGACTTTGTGAATCATAGAATTCTTGTAAAAACTCTCTTGTCAATATCTCCTCGAATCAGATATATGGGGTGATGGAGGATGAGCTGCATGTTCTTTCTCCTGGAAAAGGAAACCATACAGCGTTTGGAGTAGAGCCACAAGGTTCCATTCCAGAGCTGTCTTCTATCTTGTCCCTTACATGTAACTTTTTTTTTAAGAACCTCCAATAATATTTATGGCTTTGGCATAATGCATACGTAGTTTTCTTTTGAAGACTTCACAATGTAAGTTGTCTCTGACATGGAATTGGCATAATAGTCTTGTGTAAAAGACCTCGGGCCCTTTAATCCCTTCGTAAAATGTGTTGCATGCCCCAGATCAAGTCCAGGAAATGCACACATGTCTTTCTTTTAGTTGCTTGTGTTGAGGGGGATGATGCACAAAAGAAAACAGATATTCCTCATAAGTTCTTTTTTATGTCATGGCAGTGCGCATTCTGGGTCTTTGATGATGGATGAGCCTTCATTTGTAAATTTAATGCCATATGTATTAACTTAGTTTCCTTCCAGGCATTTTGTATTAGTGAGCATCACATACGGCTTTATAATGCTCCAATACCAGATGCCCGGTTGTTCTTTGATTCAATATATGCAGGAAGAAAAGATGTAAAAGATGTATGGTTATGTATACCGTAACTTTTTGGCTAAGTAATCGGTCAGAAGTTCCATCCTACCTGGTGGCAAGGGACTGACCTAGTTGACTTCTCAGGCTTCTGTCTCTAGATGTTATGATCCTGTGGCATATTTTCCCACAGGTATTAAATTTGAAGAGTCAATCACTAGATGCAATCAAATCCACCCTCCCTCCCCCAAAACCAAACAGGTATTTTGAAGTATGCATCCATATACACATATACGCATTTCAAGAACAACAGAGTTCTCTTTGCGAATGGAAATATAGTCATTGATAAATTACATTACTGAACTCCAGGCATTAGTTACAGTGGAAAGTGAGAAATTGTAGGAAACTTTTAAAATCAACGTGGATTGATTTTAATTTGTTTGTGGCTTGAATTTAATTGTGTTGCTCAGGGCACTATGCAGGCTATCACTTGATTATATTCAATTTATCTCTTTATATACCACCACTTAGTCTCCAAATGTTTCATCTATGCTCGTTGTGTTTTCTCCAGCTCTCTCATAAGCTCTTTGAGATCAGAGCTCATGTTACACAGTAGAGACTCAATATATACATTATAAGTAAATAAAGGAGGCTACGGCCAGAGCTGGGTGGTGGCGCTGGGTGCTGCCGGAGGAGTCTGGCAGAGCCCAAGGCGGTGGCACTGTGGAGTCACTGGAGTGGAAGTGTCCAAGTTGGAGAACTGTTACCTTGCAAGATTTGTGGAAGGGCATCCTTTCCAGTGGCATTAAAAAAACATGGACCTATTTGCCAGAAAACTGCCACTAAAAAACGGAAGACTTTTGATTCAAGCAGACAAAGAGCTGAAGGAACGGATATTCCAACAGTAAAGCCTCTTAAACCCAGGCCTGAACCACCAAAGGAGCCATCTAATTGGAGAAGAAAGCATGAAGAGTTCATTGCCACCGTAAGAGCGGCTAAAGGCCTCGGTCAGGCCCTTAAAGAGGGTGGCAAACGTCCTCCCCTCCTCCACCTTTTGATGATCCTGATTACATTCAGGGTCCATGTTGCCAGAGGAGATTTAATGAAAATGCAGCTGATAGACATATAAATTTCTGTAAAGAACAAGCAGTGCATATTAGTAATACAGGCAAATTTTCTACGGATACCAAGGGAAACTCGACTTCTCGGACACAGTGTGAGGCACCTGCACTTAAAAAGTCCCGTTCTGCTTTAACCGCCTCATCAGGATCTTCACGATTACCACAGCCAAGTGGCACTAGCAAAACTGTTGTAGGTGTTCCTTCGGGTAAAGTGTCTTCAGTTAGCAGCTCTTTGGGAAACAAACTTCGGACCTTGTCTTCCTCCCATAAAGGGATAGCAGCCCCTCACGTAGGTAAGATGGACAAGTTAGGCCCTCCACTCCGAACTGGAAGACATGGGCAGAGGTTGCATGACAGTGATGCAAAATCAGACAGTGCCATCAAAAGACATGAGTTATTACCCATTTAGAAATCCTGCCTCAAGTGTGCTCGCAAGCAAAAGAAAAACATATACTGAGAGCTACATGGCCAGGGTCTACAAGTAATTTTATTGAAAAAATAACACAACAGCCTTCCTCGATTGAGGGCTGCCCTTCCCCAAGCCATTCCTCACACACTTAAAACACAGAGTTTGCACGGTAAGGAATTCTTTTTAAAAGTCATTTCTCTGTAGAAATCACACTCTGCTCCAACATCACGGACTAGACTGTTTACAAGCGTTCACATTTTAAGTATTCCTTTATGATTGTTCTCTCCTTTCCGTCCCTACCCAGGGCCTCCAGTACTTTTCTCTTACTGATCCTGAAGGGATGGGTATGCTGTAGGGCAAGGGGTGGTGGGCTCCTGAGAGCTACTGGCAGCAGCCCTAGGGTGCTGTCCCTACCACAGGGTGGCAGATGTGTGAGGGCAAGGGGGGTTGGACACGGTAGGTGGGATGCGGCAACGCCCCCGTAGGCACAGGCATCCAGAGCCCTCTCAGTTGGGGTGGGGGCCAACAGCTAGCTGCAGTGGGGAGGGATGAGCCCAGTCCGGGGTAGAGGGAGAAGCCTCCCACACCTATTAACAGCCAGCAAACTGTCCATCCATCTGGGGGGTTGGGGGGGAAACAGACGGGCAGGAGACGGGCAGGTAGGCAGGAAGAATCAGGCTTGTTCTGCCCCGAGCTTCGATCCAACACAGGAGGAATTGAGGTAGCAAACGGCTGAAATGCTCCAACGAGAAGGAAAGGAAATTCCCACTGTGCACAGCTCCCACACCCTGGGGCTGAAAGAAGGCAGACCTTGCTTGTAAAGCGCTGTAGCCTCCAGCAGCGCTGGGCCCTGGGCAAGCTTGCAAGAAAGCAGGCCAGGCGAGGGCACAGGAGCCAGGCATTCCTGACCAGCACATGCCCTGCCATGCTCCTCGGGGGGATTGCTGGGGAAGGGGGACTGGGAACTCCGCTGTCAGCCCTTGCCGGCCACCGGCCAACTCCTGTCCACATACAAACCAACACCCAACCAGCACTGTAGGGCGGCCCTGCTCACCGTTGAAGGTTCCAGGCCAGGGGAGTTTATTCAGGGTTGTGGGCCCAGCCTAGGTTCCTCGATGGAAGCCACACCTGGAGCCTGCGGGGGGGTGGTTCTTGCTGGGGCCAGGGGGTGTTTATAGCTGCCACCCCCCAGGCTCACACCTCATAGAGGATCGCAGGGAAATCCACGTGGATGCGAGGAGGGATCCAGCTTCCGATGCCCTGAGGAATCAGGTTCTCACCCACCCGCCTCCGCTTGGCCTGCTTCTGCCCGTTCTTGGTGACGACTGTCTCCTCATAGAGCTCGTGAGCCATATCCCCGGCCTCGGCATAGAACATGGAGCCACGGCGGCGCCTGACTCCGAAGGGGGGCACGACCGAAGCTTGCTCAGCTACAGCCACCTCTGGGCTGCCGAAGCGAAGGGCTGCAGGCCGCGAGCTTCGCGGCCGCCGGTGCGGCCCCACGGCCGCTTCGCTCTCACAGGGCCGTCGGCGCCGCCTTCCGCAGGCTCCGCTGTCTCCCACAACATTTTTTTTTTTTTCATGAAAGAAGAATAGGAAAAGGAAAGACGAGAATTAAAAGATACAGTGAAAAAAGGAATGGGGTTAGTCCACAAAATGTGTGGCATGAGACCCTGTAGATGGACTAGCCCCGGGCCACAAAGTGGAGTTTGAACTTTGTTGTAGGAGCCAAAGTACAGGAGAGGATAAGAGTAGTTACCTGATTCATGATGTCTAAAACAGAAAAATATATCACTTTCTCTGTGAAAGTACAACTGGTTCTGAGGCCTCAAAAGTTCTCCTTTGATTTCTCATAAGGAGACACCAGATAACTTGTTAACTTCTTAATTAACATCCGTACTGAATCCATAATAAATATGGCAATGGACTTCATAGGGTGTTTTTTTTTAAGATGCCCTCTATGCAGGCCTATAACGTGACATCCTGTGATCCACCAAAACCAGTTGTGATGTGGGTGTGTTATGTGTAGCTATATATATTGTCTGCTTTTGTTGTAAGCATGTAACATGTACATATTCATTATTCAGATTTAATCCAGGGATAGATAGATTTTCAAGTATCTAAGATGCTAGCTCTCCATCCTGGTTGCCCATTAGAAAGAAGCATCTGTGGAGCTTCCTAAAAATGAACACATCAGGGTCCCTCCCTGAGATTTTGATTTCTTTAGTTTGGAGAGTGGGATCTGGGCACCTGCCATTTGGAAAGTTTTAAGAGTGATGCCTGTGCATAACATGAGGATCATAAAGGAATTGGTGAATTGCTATCTTTTCAGCTAGATTCTTTAATAAATAATGTTTGTCTCAAAAATAAATAAATAAAAATTAAAAATAAATAAAGGAGCAAAGGACTAGATGAACATGGCTACAGATTCACGATGCCACCATTTACATTACAAGATGTGACCTAAGAAATTTAACAACTGAAGATGTTCCCACTTCTTCCTTGGAGGTCATTCATTTTCCCCTCCTCTGGCTTCCATGAATAATATAGATGTTTAATTTTTCCCCCTTTGGTCCTTTGCCCTTTGAATCCACCCCAGCAAAAACGCTCAACTCTATGGCACTAGAAAATATTGTGAAGAGCTTTACCATGTTCCAACATTTGTGTATTTATATACTTATTTTATTCTTGGTCTTTGCTTGAGCTTTTAAAATTTTTCTTAGTTTCCACTGTCATTTTCTACATGTGTTGTCTCTGCCTTCTTTTTGACAGCTAAGGTACCTTGTTTTTTTCATAAATTTTATTTATTTATTTTTGGCTGCGTTGTGTCTTCGTTGCTGCCCGCGGGCTTTCTCTAGTTGCGGTGAGTGGGGTCTACTCTTTGTTGTGGTGCGTGTGCTTCTCGTTGTGGTGGCTTCTTTTGTTGCAGAGCAGGGCTCTAGGCACGCAGGCTTCAGTCGTTGTGGCACAACGGCTCAGTAGTTGTGGCTCACAGGCTCTAGAGTTCAGGCTCAGTAGTTGTGGCACGCGGGCCTAGTTGCTCCGCGGCATGTGGGATCTTCCTGGACCAGGGATTGAACCCATGTCCCCTGCATTGGCAGGCAGATTCTTAACCTCTGCGACACCAGAGAAGTCCCTAAGGTACCTATTTTAAATGAGATGCTCCTAAAATACAGGTCAAGGACTCCCTACCTGTAGAAAAACTCTCTAAGGATAACATAAGGAACTAGTGACAATGGTTATGTCTAAGCAGTGTAGAAACGTGGAGGAGAGTGTTTCCTTTTCATTCAGTAACCATCTGTTTGAATCATTTTTGTCCATGAGCGTGCATTGCTTTTATAATTTATAAACTGGTTAAAAGATAAAATATCTATACTCATCATGGCAATTCTAGCAGGTCTTAAAGTTTTAATGAAATATGAATGCAGTTAGTTTATGCATATGTGTATCCTAAACAAATGAACAATCTTATTGTTCTAAGATACCACACTTAATGAATCCAGTATTCCACCTTTTGAAGCATCTTATAGGTATCTGAGATTAAATACTGGTCAGTGATTCATACTGGGGTACATTTATGGGTGGAAGATGACTGAGCTGCTTTTGTATCTGTAGCTTTCCGCTTTGAATGACACACCCCCAGTGAGCATTTTAATAACACAGGAAGTGTTTCCGTCAGTGGGTCAAGAGAACCACTTCCATCACAGCTTTCCGTATTTTTATTCATTTTCTTCACTTGTGGCAGTGTTCACACTTGGAACCCGTTTCACATGCTAAGGGTCCTCCACGTCGACTACAGCTTTTTGCTAATTCTTCACATCCCATGGTCCCACCACATTTCACTCTTTGCATTTCCAAACTTTCTCTTCAAGGTTTTCATGTCATTTGGGTCCCAGGGTTTCATTCCCATGTCAGTCTATCTGATCCTGCCTCTCATTTGTCATTAGCATTTCTACTCTGGCTTGTTTGTTTTGAGTTTCTGCAAGTAGTTCAACCATTGTCAGGCATGTTTTAACCTTCAAGTAAATAAGTGTCTGCCTAGAAGTGCATAAAGTTATTTGACTCCATAAAAGAATACTCACAAACACATGCTGTTCTTCATAAACATTCTGTGTTACTGTATTAAGTTGATAATTGGTAAGATATGTTTAAATTTGCACATTGTAGAAACTGTAAGTTTAATTCCCAGCAGAGTAAGTGTGTAAATGCTCAGAGTCATACACGATTCTATGGAGATGCACTGTTTATCTGTAATCTGTAACATTTAAAAATTAGCCAAAAAGGCTGAAAGAGGCTTCTTCCTATGTTTTCCTCTAAGAGTTTTATAGTGTCTGGCCTTACATTTAGGTCTTTAATCCATTTTGAGTTTATTTTTGTGTATGGTGTTAGGGAGTGTTCTAACTTCATTCTTTTACATGTAGCTGTCCAGTTTTCCTAACGCGTGTATGTGGAATCTAGAAGTACAGGTGAGCCGATATGCAGGGCAGGAATAGAGACGCAGACGTAGAGAATGGACGTGTGGAGACAGGGTGGCGGGGGAAGTGGGATGAACTGGGAGACTGGGATTGACATATATACACGACCAGGTGTAAAACAGATAGCTAGTGGGAACCTGCTGTGTAGTACAGGGAGCTCAACTCAGTGCTCTGTGGTGACCTAGATGGGTGGGATGGGGGTGTCGGAGGTCCAAGAGGGAGGGGATATATGTATACATTAAAGCTGATTCACTTCGTTATACAGCAGAAAGTAACACAGCATTGTAGACCAGCTATACCCCAATTTTAGAAAAATAAATGCATAGTAGGTAGTCAAAAAAAAGGCTTGAAAGAGATCCCCTCCCCCAGTGATTCTCCAACTTCAGTGTGCATCAGAATCACCTGAGGAGCTTGTCGAAACACTGATTGCTGAACTACTGATTCAGTCGGTCTTCAGTGGAGCCTGTGAATTTTCCTTTCTAACAAAATCCTAGTTGATTCTGACTCTGTTGATCTGGGACCAGATGTTGAGAACCATCGCTATCCCAGTACTCCTCCTGAGCACACAGAAACACTGCATTTCCCAGCTGTGCTTATACTTATGTTAAGACCAAATGACTAGGTCTGGCCCAGTGGCATGTGTATGCCACCTCCAAATTGGGCCACACATCTCCCTGCGTCGTTCTCCACTCTCTCTCTCCCCTTCCCTGGGCAACAGTGGAGACTACGTATTCAAGATGGTGGCCTGCCGAGATGGAGGGTCCCTAGATCTGTGAGTTTGTGATGGAGGAAAGCTGCCTTACTCACGTAAAGCTGTCATATGAAAGAAGAATAATCCTTTGTTATTTATATCAAGTCATTGAGTTTCAGGGCAGCATTGCCTAACTCACCCTGATATACATGACTTTCACGTGGTCATGAGATGAGCCAGTTGCCCAGCTCTGAGGCAACTTTTACTGTGCAAATTTTAGAGATTGAATCAATCTACCATCTATGCTTCCCCATCCAAAAAAAAAAAAAAATCTATTTAAATTGACTTATATGTACTTAGCTTAGAGCCACATGTCTGTAGGCTACAAAGAGATTGTTGCTAATCTTTCAGAACATCTCCTAAAGCCACTTTGGTACATTTTGGGGTGATGATCTTTCATCTGAACTTTTCCAACTGCCAACTCCTTGGACTCAATCAATATTCTTGATTCTTTTCCCTCATAGGTTATTACAAAATATTGAGTATAGTTCCCTGTGCTATACAGTAGGTCCTTGTTGGTTATTTTATATATAGTAGTGCATATACATTAATCCCAAACTTCTAATTTTTCCCTCCCCCGCTTTCCCCTTTGGTAACCATAAGTTTGTTTTCTATGTCTGTGGGTCTATTTCTGTTTTCTGTATAAGTTCGTTTGTGTCATTGTTTTAAATTAGGTTCCACATATAAGCAATATCATATGATATTCGTCTTTTTCTCTCCGGCTTACTGACTTGCCTGGGGCATAGTTTCCCCTTAGGCATCTTCACAGTTAAGGTTGATGGGCCCTGAGTGACCTACATCTTTCATCGTGGTTATAAGCCTCGAGACCCTCCCAGATGATCCCTGTTGCTTTACCCCATTGCTGGTGATACTTTGCTGAATCTGACCCACCCCTATCTCTGGACTCTACCTGGATGTGCATGACCCCTTCCTGTCCCACCAACCTTGAGGAATTTGACCACTTGCCTACTTGGGTATCTGCTAGGCTCTAACACCCCATTTATTTGTCAGTTCTCCTGTCCAGACCTCCACACACAGCGCACTCCATGACTCAAGTAGACTCTAGTCAAACTCTCTTCCTTTTTCATGCAAATGTTATATCATTGCCCCTATTAATGTCTCCTTCACACAGAAGTGAACCAAAAGCAAAGATTTTTCCCAATTATACCTTATGAAAACTGCACTTCCCTCAACCCTTACATGAAATCAAAGCCTCTAGATTACAGAATATGAAAGTTTCACCTTTTAAAATGGTGTTCATCGTTCTGTTGATAAGTAATCATACATTTGTTGAAGAGAATTTGGAAATTCAGAAGAGTACCAGCCTCTATCTAAAGATAATCTCTTTTATGTTTATTTTGTTGCCATGTCATTTAAATATAGCCGGCTACTTAATATTCGGTTGCACATTTAGGCCATCATTTATTCAAATAATCCAAGCAAATGTTGCTTCTGATTTTCTTATTATTAGAAATAATGACAGGCTGCACATACCTGGTAATCTTTCTAGATCTACCAAAAATCTATTTCTAGATTCTTTGCAAGGGAATCCCTTGGTATAAGTGCATGAACAGTTGGTGTAAATACTACAAGAAAGAGCTAAAATATTAAAAGTGGTTGTGTCTGACAGGAAGTTCACTAGATGGGCAGCAATGGGCAGAATGCTTTTTTCAATTATAAGCACTGCATTTGAGTTTTTCTGTTTGTGTATTATTACAATTAAAAATAAGCATATTATAAAAATTTATTTTTTCCCAAGTGAAGTTATGCGCTCCAAAAGGTGTAGGAACACTTTAAAGAATTCATATTACATACACATATGAACAAATTGCCCTTTGAAAATTTATAAAAATTTATCCTCCCATCAAAAATGTAAAACATTTACCTTCCTGAAAAAGCATCTACAAACTAGGTATTTCTTTCTCCTTTTAAATATTTTCTAATTAGCTTTAAAATGACAAGCAACTTTTATCTCATTTATCTTACTGATAAGGTTGAATTGCTTTCCTGTCTGATTTACGGTCCATTTGTATTTCTCCCTTTGGCTGTCCCTGCGACATCTGTCCCTTTAGAAGGTGGTTTCCTTATACCAGTGACATGGCCATGGCTTAAACATTTGGGTAATTCTTCTTTTGGAATGACCATCAGAGTCCGAGCTATTTTTTCTTGGATATTCTTAGGACCAGTTAGTTATATCATCAAGTTACGGACAAATTGCAGAGCAACTGCATGGTGATAACCTCAGTTTTCTTTTGTGGTTTTAAACCATCCATGACAGGAACTGTCAAATAGGCATTCCAGTTACCTGTGGAGCCACGAGAACATGAACAGAATAAATACGTGGCTCTTGAAAGCCACCACAGTCGTTTGACTGTATCTATTATGGAAGGCTTCTCACTACATCCCCCTCATCATTTTATAGACTTCATATTTAATATATGTATGTTAATTAAAAGTTGTCCATTAGTCTGCATGTCAGTCTGTCATGCAGCCTTATACACATAGTCTTATACGTAGCAGACACTTAGAAACTGGATCGAGATTGTAGACCAAGCATATTTTTGACTAAATGTCATTCATC